AAGGTTTATCGCGCTGTGGCCTGGATGTGCCCGTTCTCCGTGCCCTAGCAGGGGCTGCRGACGCACAAGAGCTCCCGCCTCGCACATGGGTGCACGTGCGGGCCCCATGTCAGGCCAGGCCTAGGCCAGGCCTACGCACTGGGTCAGCAGCAGGAGCTGCGGCGCCGAGGCCGCCGCTGCGCTTGCCTCGGGGCTCCGGCAGCAGTGGATGCACTCAAGGCGCTACTGTTAACTTTTTATTGTTTGAACGCYGCGTGCTGCCCACATCAATGCTATCTCGTAACAATTTTACGTTTCAGGAAGGAAAGATAGTGCCTTGGCAAGGCTCTGGATTTGCACATTAAGAAAGATTTTTTTTGTTCCAGAGCTTATTGACTGCATACTTTGGAAAAAAAAATAGTGGCATCTACCTGAAAAAATGGAAGTCCTGACTGAAGAGTAGGTGAAGTAAAAATATAGATATACGTTTGCAATAGCTGTTTCCTCTCCTGGACTTGCAAGGGTCATATTCACTTGCAATTCGTATTAAAATATAAGACATTTGAATTGGTCCTACTTGCTGCAAAGACTGCAAAGAGCTAAACCTGGTTAAGAGGCTTTATGTTGGCAGGCCCAACTTAAAATCTCACAGGGAAGAGGAAGGAAATCAGGAGGGCCTGCGGCCACCTGTGAGTAAGCGGAGCAGTTACAGGGGTTCTGCGTGTGCTGCCTTTGACGGGGGTTTCGTGGCGGCGTGGGGCCGGGCGCAGGGCTCCGGGCAGCGGGACGGGCACCGGCTCCAGCCGCCGGCGCCCTCGTGCTGGGGTCACTTCAGGAAGGCGCTCACAAAGGAGCCGCCTTGTCCATAAAAGTTGGCATTAACTAATTCTAACTCGCGGTAAGCACCGCGAGGTGCCCGCAGGCAGGCAGGGCCGCTGGGGCCTCGCAGCGCCGGGGTATCGCGATTCCCCCTGTCGCGACAGGGAGCCTCCTCCCCCCCACCTCCCCGCGGCAGGGACCGCCTGCCCCGGGGGACAGGGTTAAGAGTAGTAGTTAGTGCTGGCGCCTGGATGAGCCTTTATTTACACGCGAGGGAGGCTGCGGGCCGCGCGTCCCTCGATCCCGATGCCAGGCACGGCCCGGGCGCCACGCGCGGGACCCGGCGGGACGGGGCTGCCGGCGGGACGGGGCTCC